TAAATTGCGTTGGCAGACAAGGAAGTACGTCAAACAAAGGCAAGCTATCCTCACAATGAACAGAAGCGGAACAGTTGCCACTGAGCTACAGTCACCTAGTGATTGATCGGAAACCTAGTTAAACACGACATCCACTCTAGATTGTCGGCCACTCTGCATCTCCACCTTTTGCGACCTCATTAATCTTCCAACTTTGGGTGCTCCAATCGAGGTGTCTTTGCGAATGACTGAATTTCGGTTTCATGCTCAGCATTCTATTATATTGGTTGGCAGTGACGAATAGTTAGAAGTCCATCCCGGATTTCATTTTTCATTTAACTTATTCATCTGTCAAAAGCTACGGAATTTCGGAGGGCAATATCACGCAAATTCCTTCTTATTGTGACTTGGCTAGCGAGCGTGATTTTAGCCCGCTGACGTCTAATCTGAGTTTGACTTTTTTCCTTTTTAGGAAGTAATGAGCGTCGCTGCTGGTTTTGGTACCTGCTTGCAGCACGTCATCAGCCGGACACCCTCCCACATGTTCACGGGACTTTCCGCACCTCTGCCAGGAGTGACTTTCGCAGGGTCCACAGGAGGCATTCCGGTGCGGGACAACTTCTTTCTCACCCATGACCTTCTGCAGCTCCTACTTCTACGTTCGAGCAGCCTGCGTAGATCCGTTTTTGGAGAGGGTCACTCAATGGCGGACTCCCAGAAGGGTCCCAGTTGGAAGTCGGGCGCAGCCAATGTGATTGGTAGGCATTTTCTGTTGCCTCCCCCGTTGTGTGCCACGCAGTACAGCCACTGGCGGATTTTCGACCAGGGATAGACGAATTCTTAATCGCCCCAGCTTTGGTGATACATGTTTTTCTGCCGGTTTTGTACGTGTAATGTTTAGCAGTAATCGACGCCTCTTGCCATGTCGCTTAGAACGATGTGGAAGAATGTTGCTAGCGCTGATAATAACGCCATATCTAAACTCCACATCAGCCGAATTCATTATACACGTTTGTGCAGTCTAGACTCGCGACCGCTCACATTTATCCCTTGGACAAGGATTCAGAAGTAATTTTAATTGTATCCACTAGGATGATAAACAGCTGTGTCCGTAGATTGTATGAGGTCCAACTCTTGTACCAAATATTGCTTGCCTGCCCGATCGCTACTTCAGGCAAATTCGAGGGTTCAAGTCGGCTTAAAAGGACCTTGAACTGATAGCTGCACGCTCGACATTTCGACCGTCGATTTCGACGATATCCACTATGTGCTCCACAACAGGATGGTGCAAGGACGGTTGCTTGCGTCTGAATTAGTTTTAGGTGGTATTAGACCCGCGAAACATCTTCCGCACTCTCTCTTTTCTCAACCACCTGAGCCCAGTTTCAAGACACAGTCAAGAAGCCCGGAGGTGGGATCAGGCGCAGGTAGTTGGCGCGGCCGAAGCCGCTCCTACGCTTGCCAGCACGCTCTCCTATGTTCGACATTTGTTGGGGGAGCGCAACCCGAAGAACGCTTGCCGTGTTGATCCAGTGCATTTATCATGTGGCCCGTTTGGGGAGACACAGAACAAACAACGCATGTACACACAGAAGTAGCTTTAGTCCCGCTAACCACTACATCCATGCTCACTTTAAGTCGCCTTAACGTAGTATTTCTATCGGAATAGATTGGATACGAGAAGGGAGGACAAGGTATATAAAACAGATGTCTGCTTCACTATAACAAAGTTACGCACAGGCCACCAGTACACTCTTCAAAACTGATGTCTTCGCTTTTGAGAGACAAAGCATCGCATGTTTTTTTTTTCGGTACTACTAGTAAATGCACTTAATGATCTTAAATCGTCGTCAATGTTTTTCCTCAAGTCTTCTGGGATCTACCTAAAAATCACTCCGCAAACCTACCCGCCGGTGCCGTGTTCATGCTAACGCGTGTACGCGCAGCCTTTTAACCTTTTCTTTTTGGTGGAACTCACGCGTCTACTGTCTACAGCAAGCCAAACTGCAAGGATAGTAGACATTAACTAGCGCCACTTGAGCTCTTCCAATTTGAGTTGGCAAAACGGCCCAGACACGAAGTCAAACTCGGTCGCAATGTTATCCTCCATTGTGAAGAAGGGTGCGATGATTTCATACCTATGGCAAAATTTTATACCTTTCAAATTGCCTGGCCACAACGTCTGATCCAGTGACTCGACGTGGGAGGTAGGTAAGAGTGATTGTATGTCGCACTAAACTTAGCCTATTGCTCATCTCCCCGAAACTGCCTCTTGACGCACAATGATATTTAGAAGTCTTTTGAAAACAGTTCCGTCGTAAACGGCAAGGGTGGATAGACTGGCCAAGGACTTTGAGGGCTAATCGGCTTGATACTTGCCAGATGACCTCGTAATTTCGAAGGTATTGGTCCTTCGACAGAATTAGGCTCGCTGATATTGACTGAATCGGTGGCGCATTCATCTTGCCGAATTACAGTGAATTGATGGTGGTTCCTAAATTTTTCTGTCTGACGCCCAGCTTCACGAAACTAGCATTTTCTGCAGTAGTATCCCTCACGAATATAAAGGCTTTCTGCACCAACAACCTGCGGAGTGGGTATTTTTTATGAGGCTTCATAGTCACTTCTTTAAATATGGGACTATTTCCGAATCAAAAAACAGAAAAAAATCTCTCAACAACTGCAAGTTTCTGATTTCTCTCCGGGGATGTTGGAAGTCTGTGCAATCTTCATGAAATCAGCATAGTCACCAAAGGTCTGTTCCAGAAGGCAATCCGAAAATATTGACTCAGTGCAGTCACGAACCTCGGAAAATGAATACGGAAGAACAAAGTTTAGATTGGTTTCATAGGTTTGATTTTGGACCACCACTCAGGCAACCTGGAAGAAATCTTCCAGATTATTCGCAAGCGGTCGCCCAAGCGGTTTAGACAGAATTGACCCCACTACCGCGACGTAAATTCTCAACCCTACCGGCCATAAAACCGATGAGTGAAAACTTGATTGGGTGCTCTCTGCCAGAGTCTTAAGGAGGTTCTAGACCGACTGAATGTAGATTTCCAGACGACTCACTAAGCATGGCGGGACTGCCTATGAATGACATCCCGAAGACCTGCCAGATCGACCATTCTTTAACTGTCAAAAGTAGGGTGTCTAGTGCGTTCGACCCCCTTGAGCACACACGACAGTTCCCCCGTCGATTTCGACGATGGGCACCACGCGCTCCAT